GAGAGGTGGTCGATGCCCCAAACCTGTCACTGTTTAAGAGGCATCTGGACAATCCCCTTAATAACACACTTTAACTTTTGCCCAGAAACTATGGCTTACAGCTACCTTCTTTCCCTTCTCTGTTCTCAGCATCATCAGACCCAGGAAAAACAATTGTTATCAGTTAGGCAACTATCTTCTCTACTGATCTGGTGGTAGGATTGAAACTTTTATCTATAATTTACCACTCTGCCACACCAGGCAGTGACAAGAATCTACCAGGATTCTTGGAATCTTATAGAACAGCATCTTGGATGCTCAGAAGTCCCCACATCGGCCTCCCTGATCACACAATTAGTACCAGTCTACATGTGCGCAGCCAGTCCTACCAATGTTTGTGGGATTGTAAATTCATTACAGAAAACACAGAGGAAAACTCATGTGCACAGAAAAGGCAGCTACCAGGCTCTCCCTTTGGCCACCTAAGGTGAGCTTCAGCCCAAAGATAAGTGAAAGGTTCAGGTGCAAGTCAAACCGGACTTACTGGCTTCGGACTAAAATCAGCTGGATGCACAGAACCTCATTTTAACACTGTACTAGTGTTAAAAAAACTGGCACGTTCTCTTCAGTATCTCACTATGTAAACTGAAATTCGTAGTCAAACCCTGCGCTATGTACAGATTTCTGAAACTGGTATATGAATAGAAAACTCTTAATTTTTTTAAGTGGCATAATTTAAAAATATATTCTGTTTATCTGGCATGATTATTCTTAATCATTAATCCTTTACACAACTGTTCCGTTCTGTGAAGAAATTAGCTTTTTATTAACTCTTCATGTTTAAAGCAGTTTTAGTAGAATGTATGAAGTTTTCTAAGCATGCTGATTAAATCATCTGTTCTTTTCAAGTATATGACCTAAAATATGTTAGGAAATAGTTTGCATAGTCACCCTTGCAGTTCACAAAACTACCGTGAATTAAAAAAGAAAATGCAAAACATTTAATATTTTCAGCACGATTATTTACAGGTACCTTCTAGGCAGATAGAACTTGCTACAGTTTGAATATATTGCAATTTATAGCATCCTACTTGTTGTTACTTGTTCTGTCATTTAGGTTATGATCCTGCTGACCTTTGCTTTCATGATTAGACAACTGCTTCAAAGAGCGTAGGATATTAAGGATTACTTGTGTGATTAAGAGCTTTTTTTTTCATACAGAAGAATTCAAAACACAGGCAAAATAGAAATAATGGTGTCACAGGCCTGAGAAGGAAGGCTCCACTTTTCAGAGCTACTGGGTTTTTTTGCCGGTCAATACAGATTTAATACACAGAGCATCTACTTCAACTTCACGCTGCTTCTCTGGAACAGCTACTTTAACACATCAGGACAAATTGTTTCATTTAGCTAAGTAAACTGTGGTCTGTGATCATTTTGTCATTGTTCAGTGACTCTAACAAACCTTACATAAATCAATCCTATAAAGTTCATCCCTCAAACAAATGAGTAATTGGTACTTATGAGAAAAGCTCCTGCGAGCAGGCATGACATCTTCACAGGATTTGAAGATGTAAAAAAAAGTTTGAAGGTTTTTGACATATTATCTGGTCCTAACAAATGTACTTACATTTGTCTTGGTCAGCTTCCACTCCTTCACTTTCTGTGTCACTCGGCAATATCCAAGGTTGATGAGCAAGCTGAAGCTGTTGTAAGAATTCATCCTGCCACAAACAGATCTATTTTAGATAAAATGACAGAGAATGGTTCTATATAAGTGCAGACTGTAGCAAACACTAGCCTCAATTAACTAGAGGAGAAAGCCTTTAATAATAATAATAATAAAAATATCCTGCTGTGAAATAAAACCAGAATGCAGAGGATATGCAGGTTCCCTAGAAATTTTTTAATTTAATTCTTATTTATTTATCTATTCTGAAAAAAATATAGTCTCTTAACCTCTTTAGCTATATATCTGCTATAGCCAAAGACATACACATACTTAGAAATGCAGTGACACAGAACCAAATCTTAATGCAGATATTCCATCTGTCGCAGCAGTTTTTGGACTATGCCTAGACATGTCATGCCCAATTTGCTTAAGTAAGGCTTTCATTTGTCAGAACTTTCACTGTCTCCAATCTACTAAGAACAAGGACCTGAAACTTGTTTAGAACCTATGATTTTACTGGAGAAGGAGAAAGCTTAAGAAGGAAAAATGCTATGGAAACTTTTGTCTTCAAGATACCATAAAACTCTAAGTATCAAAATATAAATGTTTTACACAGTTAAAAATCCATATGCAGCTGAATATATGCTTATTACAATGTTTTACAATCGCCTCCTTTTTATATAATGTATTATGCATATATATAAAAATATTTTTCCATACGCGCACACATATGTACGTGAGCACGTACACACAGAGACATATAAAATACTTTGACAGGTTCCCTTGCAATAAGGTGAGAGATGAGACTGGAATGCATAGTTTTATTTTCAAAAGCAGTTCAAACATGCAAGTCTCTAAAAGAGAACTTCAACATTGGCCAGATATCATAAAATTACTGGCCAGATTCCTGTAAGTACCCCCCCAAAAAGGGGGGTAATAGCCCTGTCTTCTTTTACACCAGCTGAAAACTGGAATCTACATATTCAAAGTTAAATTGTATTGCACAGTGCTACAGGATATTTTTTATTGTTAGGCTATCTGGTTTAAAAACAGAAACCAGGCTTGTTTAAATCAGTTCTTGGAGATCGAAGGCCGTTCAATCAAAATCTAAAATTATTAATTCTGTTAGCAATCTGTTAAAAAATCCACAGAGACTGCTGCAAAGGCCCAACATTAAGCTGAGGCAGAAGCTCCAGGCCTTACGCATGGATTGCCATTTCCAATGGGCTCAGCGGTCAAGCAGGTTGCTGACTACAGCATTGACCTGGGCAAAGTGTTTTGGTTGATGGAACAGGATTCTTGCAGTAGGAGCGACTGGCTCTTGCACTGATCAGCATACTTTTTCATCTTCCAAAAACACAGAGCAAAGCACTGAGCCAGGCAGCACAACAGAATGGCAGTATCTGACCAAAAAGAGAGTCCTTATCACATCAAGTTATGCTCTATACTCCAGTAAGCAGGAGGAAAACTTGTGTCAATCATTGCTACATTCAAATAATCTGAAATTTCCCACTGTTAACAATGACAGACCAGATTACTGAATACTACTTTAAACTATCAGATAAATAAAGTGATTGTAAAATTCCGAGTGTCCAGAAAATGAAATGGCCAACAAGGGAGTCAGTAGTATTTTCATCTCAACAGCTATTGATAACTATCACAGAATTGTGTCACTTTAATGGAATCCATCCTAAAGAGAGAAGCAGGATTCAACATTCCTTCGTCAATTTATACAGGACACCAAAGGATAAAGTAAATGCCTAAAAGTATCTCTGCCAAAGGATTTGGAACCCTGATTTATTAGTTTTATAGAGATAATAAAACTGTTTCTCTAGGTAGCATTTCTTTGCTATAATTCAATTCAGCCTTGAACAGAGCTGATAATAAAACACACCTGTTAGAACTTTGTAATATTATGTGTGCCAAGAGGCAGAAACTTGTCCACAAAATCTCAGTTCATTATAAGTCTTGAGCATTAAAAAACCCCAAAACATTCTTAACAGCTGATATGTTAAGTACTTGTCAAATTATTTAAGATTTGTGCTATAACAAGATTAAACCACCCTGAGCTACAGCATGAACTTTACTAAAACTTAAGAGTAACTCTGAATTGTATTTATCAGTAATATTTTTGTATTTTAGACTTGTTATGTTATTCTGAAACACATTACAAACTAGGAAGCATATATAAGGCATTGAGAGCTATGTTAAAATTCCTGATAAATAAACAAGTGACAGCACTCAGTGTAAACCCATGCAGATTCTGAATTCTTTAATTCAAGCTCCTTATGGTAAAACATGCTTCGGGTAGCCAGTAATCACATCCTTTTCAATTGACTTATTCTCATCAAATATGTATCAACTTTATACTGGTTAATTCCATAAACACCACCTAAGAGTAAGGAAGCAGAATTATTTGCAAAACCTTATCACAGTATCTTCTGTAGGAGTGGCAATATGAGCACAGTGTATTCACATCTAGTGGGAATTCCCAGTTCACACCATAAGGCTAGGAAGAATAAAGGCAATTTCCCTTCTTTTATTTTACTGTTTTCATACAGCAAGAGGATACAAAACCTATAATGAAAGCTGCAAAATAATTTACAGTATCAGCCTTGAGTTTTGTATATCTGTGATGCGTAAAAGTACAAAGACAGAACTTTGTTGTTCTCTTCCTACCCCAGGCCACCTTTGACTTTTTAAAATTTGTCTCCATGATCAGAGAGAAGCTGTGACACAAAAGAATGAAATCACAAACAGGGGGACACCTCTAACGTGGCAAAAAATGTCATTGAATAGAGATACTTCCTGGCTGTGCTCTGTCTAAACACACTTCTCTAAGTGACCAGGAACTTCAGTGGGCAAAGACAGCTTAAAAGAGCTCCCAAAGCTTCTACTATAACTCTCCGAAGATGGGGCTGGGAGTGGCAGAATGGCCAGACCTCCATCAGCTACTTTCTGACATCCGAGGGCCTTTATAGCTTGGCAGAGGAAGGTCTTCGGTATGAACGTGTCATATTAGCAGTTTTCCCTTTGGAAGCAGAGCTAGTCCCAAGGCAGGTTTCCATTAAGTCAAAGGTCACTTGTGCATGTTAGGAAAGGATAAACAGGGTTTGAGCTGGGTCACTAGCAGCCAACGTACTATTGTACCCAGTGAGCAAAGAGAAAGAAAAGAATTTCTCGCTTCTAGAAGGGATTGTAACAGAGGATAAGATCCTGCATAGAAGTGCTGAGATTTAACAACAGCTTTACAGTGGGGTTGCTGGATGAAACTGGACATGCTGCTCCAACTGTAAAAGAGGGTAATAATATTGTTCATTTCTTAAAGTTCTTGAGATAGACATATATATATATATTAAAAGTATAACAACACACTTATTGTAAGAGCTATCAGCAAAGCTTGGGATTTGGTACAGAGAAGTAACAAGTCCCGGCGAATGAAATGGGACTCATGGTTATTATTACTATAACTACAGAAAGGCTGTGGAAGAAAGCATTTTTAATTGCCTGCCTTGCTGCAGGAAAGATCAGAAGTGATGGACAGACTGCATGTCCCTTGGTGGAGATGCAGGGCTCATTACATGGCACTTTCAGGAATCTATACAATAATTCTAGTTGGCATCACATGACTATGTATCAGTTAAGAACAGGACGGATTAAAAAGAAAGAAAGAGGAGTGAAGTGTTTAGTGGGAAACAATGAAACCCTTCATTTTTTCTGAACATTTTCAGTTAAAAATGAATTTCAATTCTTATTTTCTGGTACGTGAGAAAATTCCAACACACAAACACACCCAGCCCTCAAAACAGTAGACAAGGGTTTGGTGGGGTTTTTTTTTGTCAAAAAAAGAGATTTGTTACAATTACATATTATTTTCCGTGGAAAACTTTTGGTTTGAAAATACATCACCTATCAGTGAAGATACTTTCAACAGAACTGTAGTCACCTTCAGTCCTCACGTCTTTAAGTTGGATATCCAATTCTAGGTGAAGAAGTAGCTCGAGTGATGGGATTGGTGCACTACCATTCAAACACCAAAATGAGAATGTTTTTCACCACCAAATTTAAGTAAGATTTCCTCCCCAAATTCTTTAGTTTTAGAGCTATCTGTGCCTCATTTCTTTCTTTCACAATAAATACTGGATGCCATATACTTAATTGCAAGATTATACTAAGTATCAAATCTCTAATTTTCCTACAAGCATCTCTAAGCAATATTATTATAAACAACATTTTTTGATTTTTTAAGACATCATTAGACTGATAATACATTGTGTCAAGTGTCATACCCAACAGACTTTTAAAACAAATGATACTTCTCAGAAAAAATTCTCTAAAGGCATGATATTTTTTTTCAGTCTTGGAAAAAATCTCTCCAGGCTTTGACAAACAGATTACAAAGAGCTTGGTAATAAATGGTGGGAACCGACTTACTCCACCATTAAAAAATTAGCAATGTAGACATATAGGTCCTTCTCGAGTCAGTACAGAAGGACTGGCATTTCCTGAGAAAAAACTCACCTTTATAAGGCATGTATCTGAGACAGACAGCAGGGTTATTCTTTCACAGGTGCTTTTATTTCCACTGCCTACACACTGAAATTATCTTTAAGGCAGCTGAGGTTAGCAGAGGAGAATCCCACTCAAAATTTATAAGGTACTTTAACTTTTTGCTTTGTTTTGTTTTAAACAAAGACTAATCCTGCAAAAGCCATTAGTACAGGACAGTAAGTTTTTATGCTCTGAATCAGTCTAGTTAACATGCATACAGTACTAGACAGTGATTCAATGATGTTGGACATTTTCTCATTGCAGTTCAGCTTTGTGTTTAGCAAAATTTGTCCATTCAGCGATGCCTAACTAATCATTCCAATGTGTCCAAAATATGAAAGAAAAAGCTGACCAAGGAAATATGATGCACTGCCAGTGCAGCAGGATAAAAACACCCTGGAATCATAAAGATAAGATAAAGTTGTGTTTAATATTCCAGAGGTATGCACTTCTTAGAAATTGTAAGAAACTGCTATGCATCATGCAGGCAAAACCCTACAGAACTCATGGAAAATTTGGGGGACACGAGTGTTTCAGGATGATTTCTGTAATAATCCTGACATTCTCTAATCAGTACCTCTCAAAGCTGAGCAGTATTTCCTTGCTAATTTTCTCATCATTATATTTCAAGTTCTTTTCGGAGTAGTAAGTTACATTAGGTATACTGATGTTACTTCAACATAAACCACAATCTTGTCTTCACGTTATAGCAGCTCTTAAACATAGCAAAAACATTAAATTGAAAATCTTACTTCTGATAAACTGCTTCTCTGAGTAGTGACAGTTCCAACAATGTCTCCACTCATTTGCACAGAGAGCCCTGAAGCAGCGCTGAGGGTCCTCCCCATTTGGCTCTTAGATGTCAAAGATCTGCTTCTTTGCATACTAATGATGCCTTCCCTATTTCCTTGGTTGCTAGGGGTAAGAGGCCGCGGCAGCAAGCTATTTGGGGTCACGGGTCTGCTCCCTGGAGTTGATGGAGTTGGTGGCCTGTTGGTTTGTGTACCGGGCGTTGGAGGCCTACTGTTTGGAACACTGGAGACCTGTGTTCTGCTGTTAGTGGGCAGCGGCGGTGATTTGTTTCCTTGGAGTTGAATGTTCTTCCCCATTTGAGTTGGCATCTGAGGCTTCGCATTTTGGCCCTGTGTAGCTTGAAGATTGCCTTGATGGTCAGATGTAACTAAACTATGATGTTGGATACTAGGGCTTCTTGAGAGCCTTGCTTCTTCCCATAACGCTAGGTCCTTCTCAATATCTGTGCACACAAACACAAACAAACAAACTCACTCACTTTCTGTTTTTCTCTGGTTTAAAACTCTTACAGATTTTCTCCAATGCAAGTGACAACCTGAAGCTGTGCAGACAATATCTATTCACCCTTAAAGTATAAGGCATCAGAATTAACAGTTCAAATGTTTGACAAGCATCTCTTCAAAGTTTATTTACATTTGATTTACTGCAAACACAGCTATGCACAGAAACAAAATATTACCACTTCACTGAACGTCAATACGACCTGTAAAAAATCTCTCTTGTTTCTTCAAAGTCATCTCTCTGTGGCTTTTGCACAGTTCCTCATTAGTATCAAACTAAGATGGAGCAGTGAGCTATACTTGCCATCCTCAGCTGCAGTGAAGGGCAATCCAACCTGGCTCAAGGCAAGACTTTTGTTTCTGGCATCGCTGTCTATCACCCAACCAAAACTCTGGGGGAGATAACCCTTGAACTCCAGCACATCTGGATCTGTGATCCTGTTTGAATCTGAATTTTGTGCTCTGGCCCGCTGTCAGTGCCACATCAGGTGATGGGGTCATCAACATCTAGAATCCAAGGAGAAAAGGTGGCCACCATTTGGTGGTCCAGTCATACCCCTCACACAGCCATAAGGAACAAGATCCTATTAAAAACCAGAACAGATCAGGGCTAGTGACAAAAGGTGCCTTCCAAATTCATTTAAATCATATTAATGCTTCTAACGACTCAAATCAGATACATTCAACAAAGTTAGGTGAGGGTGGCTGGAATTCAGGTTAGCATTGCTAACATACTGAAAGTCTTTGCAAGTAAAAATGTTAAGCTTAAGGAACAGTTTATTCAAGTTTATTTTCTCTTACACAATTGTTATGAATTTTCATTCTCACTGGCATGGACTGTGCTGTAACTTGGGTTTGATAGGGTGAGTTTTTTATCTTTGGAAAAGCAATGCCATTTCCCATTAAACTGTACAACTCACGGTCCCAGAAGGTGTAAATCAAGAAAGACTTATATAAAATAAGCATTTCATTTTTATTTTGATAACAATAATTTCAGGTTCTAAAAGTCCTAAAAGAAACAGATTCTAAACTGCATATAGGAAAATCAGATTTTCTTTCACGTGTGTGTTTACCAGTAGGTATGTAAAACAACTAAAGATGTGCCGCCTCTAACATTAACTTATTTTATAGGAACTCCTTGAAAACAGGAAAATAAGCTATGTTAATTTGATGTTACCAGTCTAATACAAGATATTCCACACATTTCAAATGATATTACTAGAAAAGCTGGTAAAACTGCCTCTTAACTCTTTAAAGATCAAATGTTTTGCTGTTAGCAAATTTCAAAACATAGATATTGTTTCTAGCACACAGTTAAGAATATTTCTAATTGCTACCTTGCTGACCTTTTAAAATTAATTTCCTTTTTAAAATAATTATGTCTTGAAGTACTCTTCCATTAGGCTTTTTAAAAAATCAATACACATCACTTTGGAACTTGCAAGATGCCTGGCAAAAATTCAAGGGCCAATAAATGACAATGTGGGCTACCTGATTTAAACCAAATGAGGAACATGTTCTTTTAAAGATTCAGCTTAGCCTATGTCTTTGTGAAATTACAGACCTCTAACTTCCCCGTGATGATTCAGTATGCTAAGAAATTATCTGAATATTGAATGACTTAATAAGAGTTAAATAAACATTTTCTTCTGGCTCATGTTTCCTTAGTTCCATATAGTAACCAAGCCTGCAGATAAAAAAAATTATTCTAATAATTTCTCCACATATAATTATCATGTTTCCATAGCATAATTATTCAGTTTTACTTAGTCTTCTTTTTGATTTTGCTTCAATATCAGCTTTTCAACCAGAGAGAAAAGAAAAAAAATAATCACACATCTCCAGCTTTACAGTATTATCTGATCTGTAGTAAATACCAGAAATGAATTATGACTTAGGATTTTTTAAATGCCTTGTCAATGTCATTTAAAGGAAAATAAAATGTAGGCAACAGAGCAACACAAAGGCATTTTACTTTTATATCATAAATACCAGAACAAGGCTATGATTCATAACGTGCTTACAAACTGTTTATGCATTTAATAGTTCTTCTTGTGATAAAATATATTCCAGAAGTATTCAAAGGTCACAGAATCAGCGTAACAAACCAAATGGGCAAGATACTGGAACTAACTACCCCCCAAAAAAATATTCTTTGCTTGTGTGTGATACAAAGCAGCCACAGTAACATAAGAGACTGGATCTTAAACAAAAGTATTACAAGCCATATGTAGAGAAAGAAAAGAAAACTGATTGTTTCAATATCTGATTTTGTAAAAATGCTGCTTTCAAACATCCAGATACTGAGGCAGCTGTTCGCAGTTGGTGATAGTCCCCAATTTAGGCACCGGCACCAAATTGTGCCTTACATTACCAGCGAGTAGCAGAGGAACTGAAACAAGGAGACTTGCTGATATCAGAGACACTTGAACTTTTGCAAATGTATGAGACAAGGAGACATATAAGGCTAAGCAAAACCACTGCATTATTATCTGAGGTCCTTTGAGCTGATTCTTCACGGAAATTAGGTTATGCTTGTCTGTGAGGGGAATAATTGTCTCAAGCAGCACTGGTGTTATAATAGGACATGAATTATTAGAAATACAAGAGTCCACAGTCTAATAATTGGGCTGTTTTCTTGTGAATTTCTCAGGCGGACAAAAACTACTGAACGGTAGAACGACTGAACCCCATGCTACAGCGTTACTGAAACAACGGGCCCAAAGCCAAATGACAGCAGTAGCATTGATGTGAGAGAGAAGACCTTGTAGGTCACGCAACAGCAAACTGAATCTTGGACACTAAGTGAATGTAGCTAGTCAGCTTACAGTCAATTAAGTATTTAAAATCCCATGAAAATCTATTGAATATGGTAGTTATTACTGTCAGCTTTGTCAAGGGAGTTCGAAAAGAACTGCATGTTTCAGAGCACGCTGCATACAAGAACAGCTTGTACAACCATGGAAGTGCAACCAGTTAGGACCTAACTCAAAGCAGGGTGACCTTCACCAGACCTCTCCTGCGTGACAACTGCAGCAACACAAGGGAAGGCAAGTGCTGCCTCCGGCAGAGGCCCCTGGGGTACTCGGGTCCCTGCTACGTCACAGAAGCCCGATGACCACAGCTCGGCCTGTTGGTCTCCTGGTTCCCACTAGATGTTCCCGGCAATGTCAGCTTGGAGAGAGGGCTCATGGATTTTCAGTCTAGTTTGGCAGTGCCTACATCTCTAATAGCTACAGTAACTTGAACCTGTCAAGAAAAATTGAATTACAGTATCTCTGTTGTCAGAAACAAAAAACATCTAAATTTTCTTCATTTGTAGATATCATAATTTTTCTTCCTGTTCCATTCCAAGCAAAACCTTTTTCTAAAGTGCTTCCCTCTTTGTGCTTATAGCTTTGTCTTCTGCCTTGACTTCAGCTGCAACAGTCCCTAGACTAAAGTACATGAGTTGTACCTCTCTTTAAATAGGATACAGCTCCCAAGCCTTTCACACCAGTGTTTCTGGTGGGATAAACGCCCAAAGTCTTTTAGAAAATCACAATGAAAGTGGTAAGTTCTCTGCCTCACTCTCTGAATTCCTTGGAAGAAGGGTCAGATAAATGTCACTCCTCCCTCCACCTTACATACACAATCCTTACGTTCGAGTTCTGCATTGCTTTTCATAGTTTGCCCATGAAGTGCAGCTTTCACTGCATGACAAACAGCATGAACAATATAGGACTAGCACGCTATAGGTCTATGTCATACCCTTATAACTAAACCTGAAGAAAATATTGATTACAAAGAACAACAAATTACATACTATATCCTAGGATATCCCTCATTAATTTTCACAGAGCTCTGAAACGTATTTTCACTGACGAAAAAGGATATTTTTGTTTGACCTTTTAGAAATGGTTACTCCATCAAAGATGTTGCAGATGTTTCACTGCACACCAGTTAACAGACTTCACTTAGCCAGAAGTCTCAAGAACAAGGTGGGCTTCTGCTGCCAAGCAAACTATTCTCAAGCTAAAGGTCCACTGCAGCCTTTTCTAGAGAGTACTTAAATGCAGATGAAGATCAGTACACCTCTATTGCACAAGTATTGGTGAAATGTGGAGGGAAAAAAAAAAAGAGGGTGTTATTAAGCTGTCAGACTGCAGTACATTTAACACATTTTAATTATGGTTTAATTACTGTATTTACTGTAATTACAGCAAAGTTCATTACATCTCCAAACACAACAATAATTGGGCTGTTTCTCTTCAATGAAGAAAACGAGAAGTTTAAGGTTTTTATCTGTTTTCATCAGCATGTGAGATAGATCATTTTTTCCTTCGTCTAGCAGAGCTAGCTGGGTGAGTATTGCTAGGCATTTTATGTTCCCTTGCTACCATACCTACCAGCTAGGTGTTTCTCCATGGTCTGAAGTTCTTTTGCTGCTAAGGAGTCCTTTAAGAGTTTCTGCCTTGGGGAACCTCCAGGTCTGACGCTCATGGCATCCAGGGTCCAAACCGTCTGAGACTTAACACAGATAAAAAAGAAAAGGGAACATTTTTAAATGTAGTTTCACACTTACATGTGACTCAATTAAAAAAGTAGTATCCTCATTTAGAACAGTGAATCTGATGGGTTTTATGAAGAATATATATTTTATGCAAAATATTACAAAATAGTATTCTTACCTTAAATAACATAAATAGTAGGCTTTATTTAAAATCAAGAGTTCTAAAGTAATTCAAATATATACCTTCACACAAGCTCTTGTTCCACGTTGAGACATCGTAACAGGACAAATTCTTCAGTGATTTACATTCTGTACAGTTCCAGTTACTTAGCAGGGGGTTGCACTTACTTTAAATTATCGTAACATTTGGCATCGTATCTCTGAAAAGCAGCACTTCTGGGAATATCACAGAATTTCCTAATCAAAATTGCCAGTGCTGTTTTATCACTGCAAGAAGTATTCTTTGCAGGAACAGCAACTAAATCATCAGAGCAACACAGCAATTTGGAAAGGGTGTCGGCAAACAGACCACCTCCCCAGTCACCTCACTATTGAACACTCTGGTATTCAAAATTATCTGCGTTTTCTGGAACCCATTCAATACAGTTACAAGAAATGATTTTAAGATATACTATGTGGTAAACTTAGTAAGTTTTTTTAATGCTTATTTGAAACAGACAAAAAATATATGACTGAGTGTGCAAGACTTGGTCATAACACCAACAAAAACATTAATTAAAGCATTCTTAACAGCCTATCTGAAATAAATTTTGCATTTCTACCTTACCAAAGCATTTCATCTGTAGTTTAGGGGGTTTTGTTGATTTCCTAGGTTTCCTAAAGAAACAAGGCTTATGCAATGGTCTCCTTGTCATTCACCTCTCACTAATTTTTTAATCTATTGGTAAACATCAAACAAATTTAGAGAGGGGCCAGGGTTTCAAAGACATTAGGTCGATATAATTTCAGGGAGAAGAATGATGGAGCGGAGGAGGGAGACCCAAACTGGTGAGGCCGTATGACCATCAGACATGTGGGATGCTGCAGATAGCTGCAGCACGTGCTCGTACTTCTCTGGCTGGACACTCATGTCATAGGGAAAGGTGTACCACAGTTCAAAGGATGAACATGAAAATACAGGCTTGATATCATCTCTATTCACAAAAAGTTTCCTTTAACCATAAACATGAAACAAAACATGGTAGCTGCTTTCCCTTTTAGAAAAATAAGCATAATTATACAGAACTTTTAATCTGTTCCAAATAAACACAGACCTGTGTGCAACCAATCATTGTGAACCATGTATCTTTAAAATATGTTAACACAGATTCATATTTATAAAGCAGCAGCTATACTGTAACGCTGCACATGCATACAGAAAAAAGCCTAGTCTCATTCATGAGCGTACAAAATAATTCGAAGATGCAGACAATTCTGTTGTTATTAACTCACAACATTTTTCGAACACTAATGAAATTTTTTGATTTGCTAATTGTTTTTTACACTAGTCTTGCTCTGGTTAAAGTTACCTGTATTTAATTCCAGGTAAACACAGAGGAACAGCTGAATAAAACTGTAAGTTACTCAGAAGTGGAACCGATCTTGCAAACACGTTTATTTCAGACATATCACTAGAACTGATTCATCTATTCCCCCAAGAGATTTTGAGCATTTGTCACTTCAGTCCTCATTGTGAATTCTCCATCCAAATCATAATCTGGCTTGTTGAGGTCAGTACAGAATATTAATCTGTATTAAGTTACTCACATTTCTAAACGTTTATTCCTAATAGATAGTTACCCAATATCTGTTTCTAGATGGAAGACTATTTTATTCTGCAAACAATTCCTCTGAAATAAACAAAGCTACGTAGATGGGAAGGGGGAATAGAGCCTGTAACAAAACTCTAATATTTTAATTTTCAATCTGGTTTTAGATATACTCTTCTTCCCAGACTTTTATGGTGGGAAAAGGCCATTTTTATATACATTTTATAGCGTATATTTTTTGTTAAGGGGGAAAAAACAGCAGGACTTCAATAGTAACTATTGGGGAAAAATCCCCAAGGTTATCAGGATAAATCCTTTTTGAATATACAATTTCATGCACAAATACAACTCTGATGAAATACGGAATAAAAACTAGTTAGTCGTCCATGGTAATACTCAAAGATCAAATTGCTCTTCTAATATTCTTAACTCTGACTATTAAAGTTCACCATAAGCCAATTATTATGGGTTTTCAATAACTCCTGAACATCCTAAAAACACAGACTCCCAAATGTTAGCCTGGTGAGACGGTCTCACTCTCCATGTCCTATTTTCTGGAAATGAAACGGAGTTATCTTTCTCTTCTACAAACCTCTACTGTTTCTTCTTACATTCTGCCTTTTCCTCTACTGTACTTCTTTCCTCTACGCACAGCAATCATGTCAGACACACACAACTAAGGTGACTGCCTGAGCAAAGGCAGCTCTCTGCTGCCTGTAGTAGAATCTAAGACAGATGCAGAAAAACTATTCTTTAACGGTAGTCATCATCATAGCGCTTTAGACATTTATAAAAACATGAGTCATGTTTAAATTAAATCACTTGCAATTAGGAGACTCCAAATCACAAAGACCATAAAACATCAGCAATACCTTCACATGTTTCAACACACATTTTAAAATCTGATATAAGTTCATGTAAGACATATAGATATGCCTGTGTATAAGCACATACAGGCACACAAAGGCAGGTACACACATGCATTTAATAAGTATTTGTGTCTGCCTTCATCCTGTTTACACACAGCTCCAAAGACATACAGAGTTTGTGTTCAGTTCCAGACATAGCACAGGCGTATATATTCTAAGAATAAATATTAATATTGTATATGATTTAAAACAAATACATTTATATATATTCAGTCTCTACCATTACATATTGTGGTATGTTCAAACTCCCTTTCAGATACACAGTTCCAACACCCTGTGAAATTAGTGAGGTACCTTTGAATTAATTTTCTCCCCAAATTTTATAACTCTTCCTGTGCATTTTTCTGTCCTATGTAATATCATAATCTTATGGCATTTTGTTAGGCAATAGCTTCACAAAAGACCAGAACAATATTGCAAGACTTGTTATGGAAGATTAGATATTTCATATTAGCAATTTAATTTCACGATAAATTATATGCTTATAGTAGTGCCTTCCAATTAAGCACTCACTTGATAGAAAATGATAATGATCTGGAAAAAAAAAGTACAAGAGTTTATTTAGACATTAAAACTGTAGCGTAACCGGTTTTTGTTCCTTCTCTGAACCTAGATATTTCAGGGCTATAACCAACAACATTTTTGGAGGCAGGCTCAAGTAATGTTTTTTTCTATATATCTAAATAATACTGAACATAAAAAAGTATTTTTTTAACGTTTTGAGACTATGAGTTCATCTAAGTGAAAAATGCATAAACACGGACCTCAGTGTCTCCAGCACACATTTTATGCAACAGCCTTACTCCTAAAAGATAAACACAAGCTGAAAGTAGGAGATGTTATCAAAGCGGCTTTGGAAGCATGTCAGTTCAAATGCATTTGTACAGCTCTAGCAGAATTCACTGGTGCTCCTTCTCTCCGCTGGATGAATGGCAGCAGTTCAGATGGGCCACTTAAGAAAGAGATTCAGGGTTGCGAGCCATTTATTTAAATCTCCTTGTTGCACTTCACCAACACCTATCCTTTGTCTATGGGTCAGGAATTGCAGAGATAATACACTCATGTCAGTTATCTTGGTCTTTAATCAGAATGATAGTAGACTGCAAGTAGTTGAAAAATATAGCATATAAGTATGTGCATAGAAGTCCTTCCAATTCCTTCAGTATCTTCCAAACTAAAATTGCCCTTGATCATTCATTAAGCTTTATAAATATTAGCACAAAATTTATAAATGGTCTATTTACATTAACATGATTAATAAGATCTAAATATGAGAATGTTCTTGAAAGACATCATGTCTTTCTAACTTGTAGAAACAGCTCTGGGCCCTGTTCATCACCTTCAAACTTTGAAGGTGAGGCAATGTCTCTTTGCGCCAGAAATATGTTCAAACAAAGCCCTCAGGATATATTTGTCAAGTTTTAAGGTCAACTATGTGTCCCTTTCTTAAGTGGCTTTCTTTACGTATCATCATAATTTCTTCACATACGATACATTCATTAATGCTTTTTTTACCTAGATCACGCAGCCAAATTACTGCTAAAATAAAAAACTATCAACAATAAAGCCAAACGTAATCTCTCTCATCACTGATTCCCTGAACTTCTAGTAAATACCAGAACTTACTGGGAATGCCACAGTGGAATAGCGATACAATTAAAGAGGTCATGAACAAGAACAAGAAATTTTTTCCAAGATCCCTATATGTGCTTCAATCTGCAGCATAATGTTAGCTTGACAGCATACATCAGCATAGCTTTTATCCCTAAAAAAACCCAGTGCGGATGTGAATGTCTTGATCTCACCATCGAGCTGACTTGACGTGGGCTATGTAATACCCACTGACACCTGGGGAGTTCTACAGAGGTGCAATATTTCGGAACAGCTAAGGCCAAGGGGAAGGCCTCCAAATGCCTACAACGTCATCTGGAAATCAAGTGCCTGTTCAAAAATAAATTACTCTTTCTTGTTGACCATAAAAACTGTTAATAAACAATGCAGCATTATATTTCTATGTCATTTTGGCCTGCTTCAGATTAAAACACCCAAGTACTCACAGGTATGTCCGTGCACACACGCGATCTCTTTCAGGTGTGGGAACAGTCCTCACCTCACAAGCGAAAGCACTTCTTCATTTTTAAAGACTATCTGAATTGCATGATCGCAATGAAATGAGGAAAGGGAGGTGAAACCCAATTAATTAGTTAGTTCCTCGCAAGCTGAAAATATATGCAATGCATTTTAATTGAACTTTTTCTTCTACATAGTTTTGTTAATCAAGTGCAAATTTTATTAGTACCTTTAGGAGGTAATACTGTA